TACAGACTCTTGATGCTCCTGGTTGCTGAACCTCAACAGGAAGCAGCAATATTAGTCTCTCACGTCTTTTGACGCCAGGATGGAGTCCAGCAGGGTTCAGTAGCTTTATTGCAAAATTAGACATTTAAAATACAGGAAGACAAATGATACAATAGCCTTCCTGAAAATACATTATGAAGTCTGTAATCATCTCCTTGGTCCTCTTGGTTTTAGCTGAGTTATTGCACCTCTGCCCTTTAGACCATCTTGTCGTCACTGATGTAGAGGCCTTGTGCGACTTCAGTGTTCAGAATCAGGGTCGGGGAGGTCTGGTTGTCTAACCTCACAAACTGGGTCTGCTGGTCAGAAAGTTTCCAGTTACAGAGGGGGGTGCAGATTCAAAAAGCCATCACATTTGGAACAAGATAATTTTTTTTACTGATACTAATAGGTCAAAATGTCCTTTGAAACCAGGCTGAGAGGACACATGTCAGGACACGGATCATCTCTGAACCAAAACAGGACATTTCAGCTGTCAGATGTAGGTTCAAACATCTCAAGTAAATCAGACATTACCAGGAAGATCAGCAGGTGGTTGATCTCTCCGTTATCTCCGGCTGGCAGTCTGCCTGCTGGACAAACATCACTCTGCATGTTTTATGGCTCAGTTGGCTGTGGAGATAAGAAAGATTTAACATGATGTCTAATAAAGTTAAAATCTGAAGTTTGAATGAGGCAATTAAAGAATGTAGGTCAATTACATGAACAGTGATCTGATTCCAATGGTAATTAAGAGCTGGGGCTGATTAGAAATGAAGGAAACAAGGCAGGAGGGAAGGGAGCAAGGAAGAGAGTAAGGAAGGATCAGAGAAAATCAGAAAATAGCAAAGAAAGAAGAAAAAGAGGAGAATAAGAAGAAGGAAAACATAAACTCTAGTACAATGTTCAGTTAAGCTTTGACTTTTACTCCCTTCTTGGTCATTAATTATATTTCTTTAATGTTTAATTAAAAGCCATTGGAACAGTACAGGACTCTGACGCCTTCACGCTGATAACAACTGTTTTATCAATCCAGCTGATAAATCCTCCAGAGTCAGCACCGTCACTGATATCAGCAGTTGTTTTCTTTCTTAAGATAAAACTGCCTGCTGCCGTTCATTCATGTTCACTGTGACAAACAGCTTCCACAGATAGTGACATAATCAGGGAGGTGTTCTCACATCACATAAATAAGTACAGCCACTGGTGGTCTCCACCAACCTTGGAGAAATGCTATAGCTGTTGGAGCTTCAACTTTATTTCACCAGTTATAGTTTCTCACTTTTACTGCTGCAGGAAAATAAAGTGGATTTGTGACTTAATGCAGTAAATGTGCTGTGAGACCAAAACCATGACTTAAAAGAGCCTAAAAAGCTCTGTAACCCTAACCCTAATTAAATTAACATACATATATAAATATAAATAATGAGGTATTAATTATATTATATATATATATTTGTTGTAATCCTGTTTTCCTGCTGCAAAAACTTGATTTCATCCAAATTTCATTGCATCTAATGCATGTAACATTTTTATTATATTTAATTTTGTTGTTCATAAATCTGCCTTACATGTAATAAAACAAAATCATAAAGACCTGGAAAAATAAAAACAAACATAACAGATAAGGTCCAGTACTGGAAAGTCTTTATGGATGAACAAATAACCGGCACAGTGTAAAAAGTTAGATAAGAAATGTGCTGGAAAACAAGCTGTTTGAGCCACGCAGTGAAGGTATGGCTCTGCATGCTTGTGGGCTAATTATTTCCTCAGATAAGGCGACTAAAAAACAAGAACATTCAGATGCTGCGTGGTGTTGGCAGAAACAAGGAGTAAATCATTGTCTCAAAGAAGACTTTCCAACATCACAATCAGACAAACAATCCTGTCATTGCTCCGAGCGAGTACAGTAATGTATGATTGGGTTTTTCTTGGTACTGTTTAGGTCACAGAGAGATTAACAGAGCTGCAGCGGACATACAAGGTCAACACGAGCCAACACGCAGGGGGACGGGACGTACTATCGACTGCACAATCAGCAAAGTTTCAATTCTGAGGACTTCACTTCCCATGATTCCTGCATCATCACTGGCACTTCTATAAGTGCAGATTATCTCAGCACAGAATTATCTTGTTATAGTATGTGTTGAAAATCAATATATATAGGATGAAATGAAATGAATAGAATAAATAATAATAATAAATATATATGATAAAAATACATAGAACATATCATAAATGTTACATAACAACTAAAATTCTGCATCTTTTCCTATTATTCCACCTATTATTGCAGTAAGAAAATTGGTTGAATTTTTGTTGATTTGTTATATTTTATTGTTATTATTTTAGTGTCTCCAAATATAAGACTCAGTTGTAAAAAAAAACTCAAGTGTATGAGGTCTTAAACTCAAAAAATGAATCCAATAAATAAATATGATAAAAATACATACATCATCATGAATGTTACATCAAATCTGCCTCTTTTCCTTTTATTTGTGTATATAATTGAATTATTGCAGTAAGAAAATTTCTACCTTTCCAGAAATTCAAGTTAAATTTTTCTTGATCTGTTATACTTTATAAGATTTTCTTCTAGTAGACATAGGTTGAAATATTCTTTCTGCAATGGCAGATTATTTTAAAGTGTCTCCAAATATAAGACTCAATTTCAAGCAAAGATAACTTCACTTGATGTAGATTTATTTTTACTTTTTGAAGTGTATGAGGTCTTCAACTCACGGTGTTCTCATGGAACCCAACTGTGCAATTTAATTAAGCTGCAGCTTGACTAACAGCATTTGTCTGCATGCTGAATTAAATGTGCAATGTTTTTGGTAGAAAAAATCATATTGGTGCCTAAAATAAAACCCAAAGATCTTCCAGTGACTTCTATCCTTCTTTAATGCCAGTTTTTGATTCTCAAATTCAAAGCCAAAGTCTTCATGCATGGAAATGTGTTGGAACGCCATGCACAACAAATTCCTGTACAATCAGTGAACAGCTCTCTGTGTTGTGTTCTGTCGGCACTGCCCTTGTTCTTAAAAGCTTTGACTTAAAAAACATTACAACAGCAACATGGTACATGATAGAATTCAGATCCCAGATAGTGTCAAAAACAAGTTAGTGATGATTAACTTCTGTCACCGCCATTATCTTCACGTCTTACACAACAGCTGAACCATGGGACAAAAACATGTGGCCTCACAGTCACCGCATGGCTGCTCAATTTGGGTTTAAATGTAGAGTAATGTATTTGTTTCTTTACCTATACGTGTTGTTTCTGTGTGTATATGTGTTAAAACATGCTTCATTTACAGTATTAGTTACTTTAAATGGCAGAAGATAAGAGTTTGGATATATTGTACCGAGTAAATTATATAACTTGTGTTTTTTTCTTTTTACGCTTTTCCTCAATGTCTCGCTATTGTCCTGGATTCTTCATTCAACAGTGCCAGACTTTACAATTGCCAAACTGAAGTTCTTTTCATTTTTTTATTCTACATGATGAATATAGTTTGCATCACTTCATTGACTCTCTCTGGTCGTCCATGGAAGCTCTGCCTGTTGTTCCAGCACTTACATTGAATAAAATATTGAAACAGACACACAACAAAAATCGTTTTTCAATTTTAAACTGTACCAACAATGCGCTAAAAACTAGTAAAAATGCAATCCTGTGTCAGATGGAAATTTACAAACACACACACACACACACACACACACACACACACACACACACACAAACACACGAACACCCAGTCTTATTTTTTAGCCCAATATTTTAGAAAAGAATCACTAACTTTGACATTTGCTAAACTTCAATTAAAATAACTTAAAATATAAATTCATTACATTTAAGAAGAGTAAAAAGGAGGAAAGATAGATGTTCATCACACACACACACACACACACACACACACACACACACACACAACACACACACAAATGAATTCAGCATTGCTAGGCAGTGCTCTGAATTAATCTTTTGTTCAAAGGTGACATTAAACTTAGTTATGTGTAGGATGAATATATGGTGTCATATTTTGACTTCTTGTCAAATATTTGTCCTGGTGCTCACGAACTGATATTTAGATCCAAACGCGAACACTAAAATCAACAAACCGCATTTTACTGCAGGGATGGATTTAGCCTTAAGTGTATGTGTGAGCAAAGAGTTGCATATTCACATATCCAACAGCGTGGAGCAGAATTAGTATTCATTTGGAGTTATGTTTCTGGCAAACATGACACATTAAAGTAATATATTTGTGATTAGCTACCAGGTTGGTGTCTGCAAGCTCCTCAGAAAAATATCTGGCTCTGTAGCTGCTAAAAGCTTCACCAATGTCACCAGCTAGTCACACAACTCACCAGTCTATTTGCTGTTTTTTCATTAAACATCCAGTGTGTAGCATTTAGTGGCATCCAGCAGTGGCGTCTGCAGGCTATTTGATGACCTGGGAATGAGAATGGGCTGTGAAGTGTGCAGGAGAAACTACAGTGGCCACAAAAGTCGCAAAAAAAACACGAAAGGCCTTATCTACAGCCATAGTTTGGTTTGTCTGTTGTGGGCTACTGCAGAAACATGGTCATTCAACATGGTGGAAGGCAACCCATGGCATCTGTAGATGAATGGCTCATTCTAAGGTAACAGAAACATAAAGATTCCTATTTTATTTATCTATCTTATCTATTTCTGCCAATAGAAGAGGATGACACACACACTTACGCTGTTACACAAGCTTAAATGCTCTGAAGCTGTAACACTGAGCACTCACTGAAAAACAGTGGAAAAACTCTGGCCCACATGGTCCTTTAAGAAACAGGAAAACTTGTTAAGCTTATCCCAACGGTCACTCTCTGTTGGGGAATGAGCATCTTCTCTATATGGCAGTTTTTGTAAATTATGTGCTGCCCTATAATATCAGAAATGTTTTAACATAACAACAGATCCTTGAAAAATCAAACAGAATCAGTGATAAGTTTAAATAACTTTATTGTTGTGTCTCCCCTCGTGGGGCTCAAGATTCCAACAAAGAATAACCAAGAGATACCAGTGTACAAAAATAAATTAAGGCAAATAATAACAATAGGAACAGAAAACATACATTTCCCCCATGTTCAGGGGGTCAAACAATACTGGAGCTCAGCTAACCTGGACTCATTTACTCTTTCTGTGCCACACAAATCTATATGGCAATGACGATATGATGTGCGTTCATAATAAGTTATTATTAAATAGGAAAATTCGTACATTGGAATAACAGTTCAAAACATAGATCTGCTACGACAGCATGTGAATGGATGGAAAGGAAACATTTCCTATTCTAATCAGCAGTCTTTACTGGCAGCATCTAGCTGTCATATTTATGGTGAGGAATGTTGGTTAACGCTACCATTCGTACAAGTTCATGTCATTCATTTCAGCTGGATATTAACTGAAGCATTTTCAGGACAATAATCTGAAAAAAAGAAGATTTCTAGCTAACAAAAAATCAAGCAGAATCATAACCGAATAGCAGAAAAATCAGATCAGAGGAGAATTATTCCTCTTTCAGAAAGTTGTCCCACCTCAGAGAGTGGAAGTTCCTCAGTACAACAGTGACAAGAAAATTGGTCACATGTCCAACATGCTGTTACAGAATTACTAAAATTCAGTGCTAGAATCACAGACAAGCTTTTCTAGAATTACCGGCAACATCTTTCAGATTAGCTAACACGCTTTTCCTTTTCTTTTCCTCCTCTTTACATCTGATTCACTCTCTGCTGCAGGAGCTCCAGCTGCCGGGCCACCTCATTGGGCAGGTCGTCGTTCACCTGCGTGGTGAAGTACTTCCTCACATCCTCCACCTCCCTCTGCCAGAACTCCTGGTCGAGGGAGAACAGCTCATTGAGGTCCACGTCGCCCTGCAGGCCCTGGAGGTTCAGGGACTCGGAGCAGGGCAGGTAGCCCACGGCAGAGGGCATGGCGCCGGCCTCGCCATTCACCCGCCTGAACATCCAGTCCAGCACGCGGATGTTGTCACCGAAACCAGGCCAGAGGAATCCAGCAGTGGGGCTCTTGCGGAACCAGTTGACATGAAAGATCTTGGGGAGCTTGGCGCCGGGGCGGTCGGCCATGCTTAGCCAGTGAGAGAGGTACTGTCCAAAGTTGTAGCCGAAGAAGGGACGCATGGCGAAGGGGTCGTGCATGATCATCTTGCCTGCAGAAGGGAAGGGGGACAAAGAGGAAAGAGAGAAGAGGTGAGTATTTTATTTTTTGTCTTATGGGACACAAATCCAGGATTAAACTTTAAAAACTTTACACAAATAAAGATCTTAATGTCCAAGCAAGCAGCCCTTCATATTTTTCTGACTTTGAAGGTCACAAGCTACTATATGATTTATTAAGCAAAAGCCATGATCTTCAGACTGAAGAAGCTCCTTTAAATCCACTGAATGATGATCAGACTAAAAGATATTAGATACTGACCTTTGTATTCAGCTGCAGCGGTGGCCTCTGACCTCATAGCTGCTCCAACAAACACTCCGTGTTGCCAGCTAAAAGCCTCGTATACCAGAGGGACACCTAAAAGGAAGCAGGGTCATACGTTGGATTAGTATTATGTGATTATTTTCTCATTGTATCCTTTTCTCTTATTCTACCAGTGTTGTAGTTTTCCAGGTACTCCACCGCTTACCTTCTGGCCTGCGCCCTCCAAAGATGATGGCTTCAATGGGGACTCCCTCCGGGGATTCCCACAGTGGGTCGATGATGGGACACTGACCGGCCGGAGTGCAGAAGCGAGAGTTGGGGTGAGCGCAGGGTTCGCCTGAAGAGAGAGAAAGACAGGAAGGGAAGCTTAATTTCATTTGATTTTTGAGTTGAAAAATATTGAGTGAAAACCTATTTCTTCAAAATTGTAATAATAATCTTGGACCTTTGGTTGATAGGATGACAGAGTGGCTCATCTAATAGACACTAACTAGAGAACGTTTGACAAGCTCTTACCATCTTCTTTGCTCCAGGGCTTGTTCTTCCAGGAAGTGATGGTGACTCCCTCGGGCAGTGACTGGTCCATTCCCTCCCAGTACACGCCGCCATCGCTGGTCTCTGCAACATTGGTGAAAACGGTGTTCTTGACGATGGTCTCCATGGCGTTGGGGTTGGTTTTGGCCGAGGTGCCGGGCGCGACTCCAAAAAAGCCGTTCTCTGGGTTGATGGCACGTAGGTTGCCTAGCGACAGGGAACAAAGAAGAAAATAATGAATTATAGAAGGGTTTGTTTGTATTACTATTATTGTAACTTTAATGTCCCTGATGGCAAATTGAACTTCACTAAGTCTCGAGTCCCTCACCTTGGTTGTCAAACTTCATCCAGGCGATGTCGTCTCCCACACACTCAACCTTCCAGCCGGGCATTGTGGGGCAGAGCATGGCCAGATTTGTCTTCCCGCAGGCGCTGGGGAAAGCTGCCGCCATGTACTTCTTCTCCCCAGCAGGGTTGGTGACTCCAAGGATCTGAGCAAGACAAACATTTGGTTCAGTAAGAAGTTGTTGTGGAGAGTCTCTATGATATGAAATTAATGGATAGGTGGGCTCATGTTTTATATTTCTTCCTTTTCATTCCTTACCAGCATGTGCTCTGCCAGCCATCCCTCCTCCTTGGCGATACGCGACGCAATGCGCAGAGCAAAGCACTTCTTCCCCAGCAGGGAATTTCCTCCATAACCACTTCCGAACGAGACGATCTGCCTGCGGTCCGGGATGTGGGCAATTAACGTCTGCTCAGGGTTACAGGGCCAGTTGTTCACCAAGGGCTCTGAGAGGGAAATCAGTAAATTTGAATCAGTTGACAGCATGTGTTTGGAGGACGGAGGAAGTATTAGCAGTGGTAATAGGGGTTTTTGTTAGTCATTTTAATTGTTGTATTTATTGTAGTAGCAGTAATGACAGAATCCTAATCAGTATTAGTAGTTACTGCAAGTAATCAAATACTAAAAGTAGTATCAGTGGCATCAGTAGTAGCATTAAAAGTACTGAAGGACTAAAGGAGCTATCTGCAGTAATAGCAGTGATAGTGGTTGTAATACTAGAAGTGTAACAGTAGTACTGGTCCTTTTCATCAGTACTCATTAGTATTCAGCATTGCCTTAATGCTATTGAATAAAAAATGAGTTGACGTACTTTTGAGGGGCAGAGGACAGCCGACTGAGTGCAGACAGCGGACGAACTCGCCTGTCCCCAGAGCGGACAGCACGGCCTTCCCCATACGGGTCATCACCCTCATACTGGCCACCACATAGGGAGAGTCTGTCAGCTCCACTCCAATCTTAGAGAGTGGGGAACCTACTGGACCCATGCTGAAGGGAATCACATACATGGTACGACCTGAGGACAGAGAGTCAGAGATGTCAACATTTTACTGAAGTTTCACTACAGTTGATGAAATGTGCGTATTGGGTTTGAATCAATTGATTGGAGTCAATCAGTGAAAAAAGACAACAGTCTTTCAACTCTGTGCACTTTTTCTGAATCTGCTGTCTTCTAATCTAATACCTGGTGCTTTTTTATGTAATCAACGTACATCAACAGTAAAAACAATGCTATAGTATCCATCTAGCTGCCCAATAAGATCAGTCTTGACTTTAAAGCTTCAACATTTTTGCCTATCTGGGACTAAATTGAGTCAGATGTTCTCTGTGGTACCTTTCATGCAGCCGGGGAACCGCTGAGCCATGGCTTTGTCAAACTCTTCCGGGGACATCCAGCGGCCCAGCTGGCTGACTCCACCTTCCAGTGGCATGGGCACAGTGTCTCTCTGGTCCCGGGTCACAATCACAGTCTTACTCTCCACTCGAGCCACGTCCCTCGGGTCGGTCCTGGCCAACCAGCTGCAGGAGGAGGAAGGAGGGAATGGAGGTAGGAGAGAGATGGAAGGGAAAAGGCACAAAGGGTAAGAAGACGTTAGGGCTTTGTTGCAAGGTAGAGGGACAAGTTTAAGGTTTGTTCTTGGATTACAAGATCATGCCAAAGAGGCTGTTTCTCTGTTAACCTTCCACCTGATAGAATACTGCTGGTAAGCAGGTCTGAGGTGGACTTACTGGTTTGTCAGAATGTAAAAGGTATGTTGTTTCTTTAAACAGCTGCTGAGGACTGACTGATGCAGACTGTCTTTAACAACAACATGACCGGGCAATCTGCCAATTGCATAGAGATGCCACCGTCACAAAAACAGTGACTGCTGATTTGTCAAAAATGCATTTAAGACCAGTTATTGTTGAGCAGCTAGGGTGTTCGGGCTTTCAGCAGCAAACTTTTTCTTCTGTTTTTACATACTTTAATCAAAAAAACCCACAAAAGACCCTAACATTTCAGAAAATGTCCTCTAACCCAGAAACCACCTAAAAAACAACTTAAACCCCAGCCAACCTACCAGTTCTCATATTTTTTGAGCTTCTTTATCATCCCTTGCTCCTCCAGCTGGGTCAGGATGGCGCGGTTCTCCTCTTCGGAGCCATCGCAGATGTGCAGGGAGTCGGGTTGACACAGGATCACATTGGCATCCACAAACTCCTTGACGGCCGGACTGAGGGCGCTGATATCGCCCTGCAGGATTCTGGGACCGTTCTGGTTCTGGGACTGAAGCTGAGGAGGCATGGCGGGGGAGTCTGGAGGGAGAGCGAGCTAATAGACTGAGAAAGAAAAGACAAGAGGAGCAGACTAGTCTGGAGAAAAGATGAGGGTGAGGGTTGAAAAGAAAGGAGAGAAGAAGGGGTGGAAAGATGATGCAATAATTGAAAGAGGGTTATGAAGGGGAGCAAGGATAGGAGATACAAAGAAAGGAGAAAAGAAAAAAGGGTGATTGGAAAGAAGTGGAAGAACAAATTGGAGAAATTTAAAGAGGAGAAGAGGAGAAAAAGTAAAATAAAGGAGATTAAAATCAGTTTAGCACAAAATCTGTGTTCCAATTTTAAATATGTCAGTTTTCTAGACTTTTCTGAGCGGTTAGATTTAGTCTCATTTCTACTAGTTTTACATTAAAAACACTACATTGAAATTCCAAGTAACTGCTGCAACCTCCAGGTCAGACAGACTCGGGGTGATACAACAGCATCCCTGTGCAGATCCCCGCTCACTCTGCAGATAACTTTAGTATCTCTCCTCACGTAACACAGAAGTCACACTGAAAATAAAGAGGTTACCTTCAGTAGCTTGTTTGGAGCAGAGAGCCTTCAGCTCGGCCTCATCAGTCGATGTGTCTCTGTTGGCTGTTCTCAGGAGAGTTCAGGACTGTTTCTCCTTCGTGGTCAGTTGTATCGCTGTGGAGAAGGTCTGTTCTTTTTATACTCTGGGATGTCCCACAAGAGGAGGGTGGGTGGGGGGAGGAGGAGGAGGAGGATGTGTGGGGGAAGGCTCTGTCTCTGGGCTATTTGCATGAACCTGTTGTTCCATGCAGATCTGAAAAAACACGGTGTTACAGGCCTTCAGTAAAGCATTAATCAGCAGCAGGACGTAATGTCGTCTTCACGTAACCGGTTCCCTCTGCCCCTGGTTGAGCGCTGATAGCTCGCAGTTGGCTTTGATCCCAAAGAGAGACAGACAGCTCTGTAACTCACCACTGCCAGGGATATTTCTTCCTGTAACACACTCCCTGCCTGAAGGGGGAAAGCCAGGTTGATCATGTAAGACTTCATGTATAGCTGGTTGTGCCAGCTGAAAAAGTCTGAAATATGCATCTTCTTTCTGGTTTAATTTCCATGCAAACTGAAAAAAGTGAAGCTGCAAAATAAATAAATAAATAAATAAATAAATAAATAAATAAATAAATAAATAAATAAAACAACACTGAAATAAACAGCTGTTATTGTTCTCAGTTGTAAAAGAAAGACACTTTTACATGTTTCTTTGACACATTTTCATCTGAATCAGCTAAATTAACGGACACCAAATTCATCATCTCTCATAGATTTTCTTTATTTTATTTTATTTTTAAAATTTAAAATGAAAAACAATTAAATAATATTCTTTCTTACAATGTCTGAGTGTCCTTTTGGTGTGGAAACCTCCTGCCCTCTTTCAGCAGTAGCTGTTGAACTTCGACCCACATTACTAAGTGATGTAAGTTCAGGGTTCCACATCGTCAGGCCAGTGTGTCACGTGGGCAGGGCCTTGGCAGGCCTCCTTCTTATTGGCTTACAGCCGGGGGCTCGCCCTCTTGTGGTCAAAGGTCAGCCAGGGAATGCGTGTGCGTGCATGTGTCTGTGTCTGTGTCTGTGTGTGTGTGTGTGTGTGTGTGTGTGTGTGTGTGTGTGTGTGCAGCAGTTAAAGACACATTTATTTTTTAAAGGTAAAAATACTGAGAGTTGCGGTTGAGTTAAAGTTAGAATAAAGTTAATATTACAAGTAACTATTAATAGTTTTAGTTAGTAAAAGTATTAGTTACAGAAGTCATAATAGCAATTGTAGCGTAGTAGCACCAGTTCTAATGATCATACTCTGCAATTGCCAAATTAAAATTACTCAGTTGCTGTAAATCTACAGGAATAGTTTGTGTTGTAATGGACTCCATTAAAAGTAAGCTTTTATTTTAGTCTTTAAAGTGGTTCGAAAATATCGTCCAAACCAACATTAGGAAAATGATTCAACTAAATTCTAGCCTTGAATCATGATGAATCTTATTTATTTAGAAGCCAAAATGAGTTTGCACAGTTGAGAACTGCTATTCTACCTCTTGGGAGTAGTTGAAAATAAATCCCATTTTCTTTTGTAATGTACATTCGAGAGTGATTTTAGAGTGTAAATTTCCCATCAGATGGCTCAACAAAACCCTGAAGTATTCTGGCATACAGACAATGTAAAACTGGAATGATTGTTTAATTTCGACACATTTAAGTTTTTTAACATTGCCTCAAAAGCTTGGAAAAAAATGATCATAATTAAATCAGTATTATATTTATGCCGAACATAGTTTGTTAGTGATTTATGAATTTTGTGGTAATCATTGGGGTCAGACAATCTGTTGTTTTCTTAAATGTTACTTTTCGTGTTATTGTTTCAAAATGTATATGCAGAATTATGTATCTGTGCTGATATAACTTTGTGGTGCCTTGCAAGTGCATGTGTATAACAGCTGTATGTATGACACTTTAAAATACCTTTCCAACAGCAGCAGTCGTTCAAGTACTTAGAGTTGCAGATACAACAGTAGAAGATGGAAAAGTGTGGTAATCGTTTTACTGGTATTGGCTGCAGTAGCAGTATAAATCCTGTAATAGAAGTAGTACCATAGTGGAAGGAGAGGAGCAGAAGTAGTAGCATCAGTAGTTGTACTTAATCGCTGCTGTATTAGTGGTAGCTGTAGTTTGAATTTAAGCAGCTTTTGTGTGCTTTGAAAGGCTGAGCAGCACCTGGACCTGGACTTGTGGACTCGACCTCAGCACTGATGCAGCAGCCAACAGTAACTTCACAGGGGTCCGATTTAATACTCACGCCAGAAGAGGAACAGAGAGGAAAGACAACTGCACGATAACAGCACTTAAAGTTACATAATGTCCTCTGTTCAAGTGTTTTATGAACAATATTGTAAATTGTGCAGTACCCTGTCAGCAGTCATAAAACACAGACACCCAGATGACCTTTGACCTGCCGGCTAAACTTTAATAATGCTCATGTTTGCTAAGATTTGTACCATCAGAGGGTTTTTGTCAAAAAACATCAAACTTTCTTGGGGAAGGACATACAAAACAGAAGCCGATAGAGGAACCGTGATTAAATTTGGTTTTGAAATAAAAAATAATGACTAAGCCGTGTACTGAACAGGACATTTACCAGTTAAAAGATCTGTCAGTGCTCTGTGATGGGCAAACTGTGATGACTGTTTCTAAATGACCTTAGACATATCTTTGTTTTGCACTTCCATACAGCATTTTTTGTTACTTTTACAGATAAAAAATGCACCAAAATAAGTGTGTTAAACAAACAGCAAAATAAAAAAATGACTACAGAATCCATAATGAAGACATTTCTTTCCTCAGTCTGATGCATTACTTCTTTCACATTTGCACTGTATATGGAGAATTGATAAAGAAATTATACAATAATACATTCTAAACAAAATGATTTTAGGCAAAATTTGAATTTGAATTAAAGGAAAGTATGGATGCAGGTGTCACATTAGAACAGCTGCAGAAGAACTGCTGTATCAAATAAGGCCTTGAATGTCCCTCAGGATTCAAACGTTCAACAGAGTTTTGAATACAACTCAGCCACTCTGTGCTCTTACAATCTGTTGACGACATTATCCTGCAACCAGATTAGCCAGACCATCAGTCTGTCATATGTGATGTAACTAGGAAACGCCCAGCTGACGGTGACAGCAGCAGATTTATCACATAGCATTCAAAGGAAATGCTTTGAAAACGGAGATAAAGTTTGGTCCATTTATTTAGTAAGACATGCAGTAGATGTCCTGTTAGTCTATCTAAATGTGCTGTTATACTGAGAATTCTGTCATTTCATTTTACTCTTGTTTGTTCTTGGTTTAATCAGTAAGAAGGACAAACTTTTCGGAACCTTTTCTGTCTTTGAGAATTGCACATTCCGCACTTGGTTGCCAACAACTAGTTTAAACTAATACAGTCTTATACAGCAGCCCTGCAATAGAGTAAAGTTAACCCCCAGACTCTTAATTAATTGGAAGTGAATGAGTGACTGAAACCATCGTGACTTAATGACTTGACATGAAAAAAGTTGATTAAAGAGACATTTTAGGGGGCCAGAGTGGTCAGTGTACTGTGATGTCAACAGATTATTTTCTGGGAAACGAGCCATTTTCCTTTTTTTGTTCGGTTTTCTCATTTCAAAATGAAAATCTGTTGGCCGCAACGTACGCTAGCCCAGCATCTAGCAGGCAGTGGCACCACCCTGCATGACACTTACACAAATCTGTGACACTTCCACATTGGCTTGCATGGTGTTATTGGTTTACCAGTGACCATCATGCATTGTGCATGTCCCAAACAGTCAGACATGGTGTTTTTTAACAAACAGCAGAGATAATTCTACACAGAACTTCCATTTGATTGTGTGTGTGTGTGTGTGTGTGTGTGTGTGTGTGTGTGTGTGTGTGTGTGTGTGTGTGTGTCAGTGCAGCTCAGTCCGTTTACGAGCTTTCTAGGACAAAAACACTGATAGAACAACGCTGACTGAACAACTGATAAAGTTCTTTTGTGAGCCGAGTGTGTGTGTGTGTGTGTGTGTGTGTGTGTGTGTGTGTGTGTGTGTTACTGTCTGACCAGTGCAGCCACAGTGTTTTAAATAAAGGGGATGACGCACTTAAAGGTGGGGTCAGACATTCTGGAGAAAGATAGCCGATTGTTGAATTAAGTTATAGCTTCACATTTCATATTCAGTGCTTGTTCAGTCTTCAGTTAACAGTCAATGGTTGTTTTATTTGTGAAAATCAAAGATCAATGAGAAATTGATGAGAAGATCATTGTAACGCTACAATCGGGTAAAAAAACATAATACATTTTCCTTTTCCGTAATCAGAAACAAACCAGTGTGCTGTTGACCGGATTGAGCAAAATGGGACAAAATGTTTCGGAGCCATTACGACATCCTCAGACAGGTTACGTCTGTAATGAATATGCATAATATGAGCTTGTATATTGTGAGTCAAACATAAGCCAGGGTTCTGTGTTAAACTGGCAGATATGCTTTCTCCAGTCTTTCCTGTTGATTGTTGTTGTGCAGGTTTGCAGCTGATGTGGCTCCAACGAAGTGATTTAAAAAGGAAACCTCCAGGTAACTCCAGTTCATAATGACCCTACAAAAACTACCACTAATTGTATCACATATATAATGATACATGATACAGATTGTGACACAAATCTCTCTTTGCCATCGTCTGCTCTGCTTCAGTTACCTATAGCTAACTAACTTGCACTCACATTTACAAAAGCAACTAATGCTAATGGTAACTTCAGTTCCAACATCTACTTTAGCTTGTGTGCTAATCCCATAAAAAGTCAGTGGTGGTTAGCAGCCTCGGGTATTTTTAGCCTCACTAGCAGCATGAGTCTATTGATGGCAATGTCTGTTATTAGCACTTGTAGCTCATTAAATCAGTCATACACAGAAAATGAATGCGTTGTTACCAAATTGTATTCCTAACAATGGCTAATGGTTAGCCTGGCTAGAGCTTGGTTTTCCAACTTGATGTCATTCCCAGCTCTGACTTTAGACTTCCGAGGTAAATGAAACCCGCCATAAAAGCTTTATGTCTGCTAAACATCAGCATGTTCGCATTTACCTCCAAGCGCTGTTGTGCCTCACCGAGCTG